TAATGATACTCTGTGCAAAGCACTGTGACTTTTATGGGTTTACACCTCCTGCCTTTGATGACAAGTGACAGACTTCTTGGCATTTGCTGAAACTACTTATTCTTTTTAGATCCCCAGTGCCTATGCTACGAATCTGATAGGAGAAAATACCACAACTTGAAAACTCATGGAAATCAGCTAGGCTTGAGAGTAGCCTTGACAGACTAGGGTCCAGGGGTTTTGTTCCTCCTATTTTTTCTTTCTGGGAAAAAATAAATGTTGGATTTGAAGGTCTAAGGTTGAAGTTGCCCTCAAGGAATTAAATGTTCTTTTCAAAAGGTTCTTCTGTATTTTTCATTCAGTATCACCTTTGGTGTGTCTATGGATTCTGGGAATTATTTTAATAAGGTGTGTGTTTCAGCAAAGCCTGGTGTCATCCTGTTAGTCCTTGGGCCTGAAGGCCGCAATGGCTGCTTATGGTGGACATCAAGATGTCTAAATACATGCCTTCCTTACAAAAGTCACAAAGCTTCCTTTGTTATAGGCCTAAGAAACATATAGCTTTAATGGTTTGAGAAAACCCATCCTTTTTCACCTCTAAATAAGGGTGTCAGCAATCTGGGTCATTTTTAAAAAATATGCCTTTATTTATTCTCTCTCTTCTTAATAGCTCTATTCCAGCTGATTTAAGACATCAATCTCATCACTCCAGGCATTGCCCTACTTCAGAGACACCCAGCATTGTATGCTCTCTGCTCAGTCTGCCCCCAAAAGTAGGTGGCCTAGAATAAAGAAGAGAAAGCAAAAGAGAAGACAAGAAAGGGGTGCTTTCCTCTCAGGCCTGAGCCACACAGACCAGAGAATCACCCACTGGTGGCTGCTGAGCATTGCTGCCTGAGGAAGTGATGGGGTCTTAGGAACTTGTTAATCTCCCCACCTGTCCTCCTACCTCCTGCTCCTCACCTGCTATTCTGCATCTTAAACCTTTGAAAGAGAGAGAGACCAAACCAAAAGCATAGGACAAAAGAGAGGTAGGGATCCTGAGTCTCCTGAATATAGCCCTGGCTCTCTACGGGATATCTATAGGTCATGAAAATATCTATGAGTCATGAGGTTACCATAGGGATATCAATGGGATATCTATGGGTCATGAGGTTATTATGAGGATATCAATGAGGTATCTATGGCTCTTGAGGTTATAGGATATCAGTGAGAAATCTATGGGTCATGAGGATATCAATGAGATATCTATGGGTCATGATGTTATCTACAGATCATAATGTTATGAGGCTCTCTATGAGCTATCTGTGGGCAACATGGTCTATAGCTCCATCTATCTGAAGTCCTTAATGATGCTGGAAGTCACTCCCCTTGTGACACAAAGGAAAGGACACCCAATCTGAATAAGGGCCCAAGGAAATTTCCAGGGTTCATGAGTTTGTTGATTTGTGAGAGATATGTGGCCTGGGGAACTGTGTTTTCTGTGAGGTTAAGTGTGCACAAATTTAGGGGTATGAGAAACCAGTCAGGAGAGATTTAATTCCAAGGAGGTTGGTTCAGTGCCAATCAGCCCTCACTCCCACTCACCATATGCCTGGGCTCCAGAGGCAGCTCTGAGAGTGTGAACTGCAGCAAACATGCCATTGCCTTCTGGAACTACTTGTTCCCCTCTGTCCTGAGGAAGGTGAGGAGGTCTGAGATCCTGGGTGAAGCAGGAGAACTCACTCAGAACAGGCCCCCTTGGGGAAAACTCTTCTAGGATTAGCACAGAGCAGTTGGTTGGTCAGAAACATGCATCCATGGGGTTGTATGCAAAGCACCATTGGTGCTTTTCTCAGGTGGGTCCACAGCTTCCATCAGCTTCCTGACCTGCCCACCCTTGCTAACTTAGGGAAGAGGAAGGGGCTCTGACTTTCATTGGAAGGACTTAATCTGAGAAAGGAAAAGCTAGGACACCTGAAGGGTTCATGGCCTTGAATCCACTTTATATAAACACCTCCTGGCAGATGCCTTCTCCTATCTCAGGGCTGTTTTCAACCCTGTCGCTTTCACTGGCACAGAACATGGTGTCTTACACATAGTAGGCACTCATGAAATACTGTTGAACCAACGTGAACTCTAATGAGACCACTGCTAAGACTAGGGAATGGCATATTTCACGGTCCACCATAATAAAATGTGACATACAGACCCTGGGATCACATGGCCATCCTTACAATCATTATGTGGCCTGTGGTTGCCTAGCTCACTGTGGTGCCTTTGCCTTTCTCCTCCTTAACTTTATTTCACCAGTCCTTCCCCTTCCTGTATGACTGCCATATTCTTTTTCTCCTCCTGGGAGTGAAGGTAGTTATAGGTCTTTCCTCTGCTGGTTACTTTCTGGTTAAAGGAGGCTCCCAGGCTCCTTGTGAAAGGGGCACAGTCTGACACACACAGACTTTACTAACCTGTCTCTTATAACAACTGCTGTTTTGCTAGATATTTTAGTATTCAGCCACTGGAAAAAGCCTCCATCCCAGAGCCTGGATGGCTTTTCAGCTGTGGGTTCTATTTTTGATAATTGCCAAGTTCCTAGGAAACCCACCATTCTGTCATAGGATCGCATGGCCTCTGGGCTTCATTCCTGCTCCAGCACTCCTTCTGCCTTCAGTGACCCCATAGTGCAAGGTTTACCCACTCCTGCCTGGTTAGGCCCTTGCTAGCTTCTCTGAGCCTCATACAGCCACTCTTCCCTTTGAGCTTCTATAACCCTGCCTGTTTATTCCTACAACTGCATTTACCACCTCCAGTTGTAGTTGCTTTTTATTTATCTGTCCCCCATGCTAGCAAGGGCTTCCTATTTATAGCACAGTACCTGGCACATATCAAGTTCATTGATTCACTCAACATTTACTGAGTACCTGTCATGTGCAAGGCACTGTTTTCAGCACCAGTGAACAAACCAAATCAGAACTGCCTGTCCTCATGGAGCTTACATTCCGCATGGAAGACACACACATAATAAATATGTGTATATAAATGTATGATAAGTTATACAGTTAGAAAGTGATAAGTACTATGTGAAAAACAGCAGAGTATTTGGGAATGGGAATGCTCAAAAAATTCATGTTAAACCCAATTATGCAATGGTTGAGTGGACAAATGTTGGGAACTCTTCTTTTGCTGAGTGAGTGACTCAGTTCAAACCAGTGATCCCCAAGCCCTTAACACAATTTTTGTACTCTGCACTATGGCTACATTTGGTAGATTCTTCTAACAAAAATATAGTAACCCCAGATACGTAGTATTAGATTTGAAAAGAACATATAGGAATACAACACTTCAAACCAATCCAACTAGGTAGGTCTCCCAGAACTTCTCATTCTTTTCCACTCACAGCACACAGAGAACACAGTATTTGTCCAGCGTGATTAGGCACATGGATAAGGTTTCTTGGAGCCTGAGAAGCCCTGAGGGCTGAGGGCGGTACTATCCCAGCACACATGTGACTCATTTGAGGCACCTGGCTTTCGAATCACCTGGGTGACTAACATTCAGAGTTATGAGGTGTACCGATTTGGGGGGAATGGCCCAGGGATCTGCAATGGTAACAATTCTTCCAGATGATTCTGATGCTGGTGGTCTTCAGACCACACGTTCAAGAACATTGCCACGCAACAAAGCAGAGACAAATAGTGAATCACTATTTGTCGTGTCGCGTCCCTGTTTTTGAAGTTGGGAGTTATGGAGAACGGTGTAAATCAGTGGTTCTCAAACTTTAGTATACATCAGACTCACTGCAGGGCTTGTTGAAACATGGCTTTTTGGGTCCACCTGCAGAGTTTCAAGAAGGGGCCCAGGTATGTGCATTTCTAAGCAGGTGAGGGCCACACTCTGAGATCCACTAATTCATTCAGGAAGTTTTTGTATTAGGAATTTGGATTCCTGTAAGGGAATTTCACAAGGGCAAAGTTGTGGTTCATTTTAGGAAGATAAGACTAAATCCTGATTGGTCTAGCCAGAAAGCATCAAAAGAAGTAAATTTGAGAAACTAAATCAGAATAAATTTCCTGTTTGACAAAAATGCTGCTCTATCACCTTGCATCATGTTCACATGTACCCTCCAGCCAGTGATGTGCTGGTAAATGTTAACCACCAATTCTTAGGAGCAAAGGGGAGAAGGGGTCTGATCGGTGTCATTTGTGCATTTCTGCCCACCATGGTCAGCTTTAGGCTACCGTAGTGACATCACTGAACATGGAACTGGGAAGAGACGCAGTGGCTTTCCAAAGCCTAGGGGAACAAGTTCCAGCACACCACTGCCTCCAGCTACTCCAGGGGTTTGCAGCCTTTCAGACTGTTTCCATGACCCTTGTTAGGTGTGGTCACAGTCTCCAGGCTACAGGCTCTTTCCATCTAGGAAATATGGTTGCAGGACTGGAACTGTTCTCTGAATACATAACTAAAACGACCATCTTTCCTGGGCTGTGGCCCATAGTGCTCGTGAAGCACTGGACTTGTGCCTCTAAATCCTGGGCCCAGATCAGGAAAGCCCCTTAGGAAGTTCTCTCCTTCCTCACGTCCTTGAAGATTCTGGATTTCTGGCTCCATCAGTAAGAGCTGAGGCACTCCTGACACCAAGGTTAGGGTACCCCCAGAGTGCAGTGAAGGATTTAATGCCATGTAAACCCAACTGAGCTAAAACCATCCTACACTGAAGAAATAGTTTTTTCAGGTGGCCCACCTTCTTAGACAAGTGAAAACATTGAAGGAAGCTTTGTGTTCCAGAAAATAAAACAACAGAGAGAGCCAGAAAAGCCTCCTCTTGAGGCAAAGCCTGCAAAGGGCCTTTGCAGGTCAGGTCAGGGTCATGAGGAAGTATTTTGAACATTGAGGGTGACAGTGGTAACCATGGACCCTGGTTTAGCCTCACAAGTCTCCAGTTCTGTTCACACCCTTCATGCCTGCCTCCTCACTTTAACTCATTCTGCTCTCTCTTTCCTGCTCTTTTCCTGCTCTCATTCTGCTCTTCATCTTTCCAGATGCAGGACGCTATGGGCTATGAGTTACCCTGGGTGTATTTTGTCAGTCTGGTCATCTTTGGATCCTTTTTCGTTCTAAATCTGGTTCTCGGTGTGTTGAGCGGGTAAGCTTACCGTTTCTATGTACTCTTTACAATGCAGCCGAGCAAGGTCCCAGGTCCCACTATATACATCACCAGGGTCCTCGGGGATGGGATCCTAACAGGCCAGGAAAACCAGAAAAAAAAGTCCCTGTTCAACCACAGATTCTGACCCACTGGCTGGGCAGGCTATTTGGCCTCTGATTTGGACCTAGAGGATCCCCAGGTCCCGGCACTGCTTGGGTCAGTGTCCAGGAGCTGGTGATGGGCACTTGGCCGTGCTCGGCTGCTGAGTGTGCCTCACTAACTATCATTCCATTCTTCCAGGTCAATGATGCCGTAGGAAGGGACTGGCCCTGGATCTATTTTGTTACACTTATCATCATAGGGTCATTTTTTGTACTTAACTTGGTTCTCGGTGTTCTTAGCGGGTAAGCAGGACCAAGGAAAAAGGTCTTGATTTTATTTATTTTATTTACTCTTTATGCTATTCCTGGCTTTATTCTTTTTTCTGGCTCTGATGAACCTGGGATAAGAGGCCACCTCAGGAGCCTTGAAGTGAATGTCCTTGGTCTGGCTGGACAGAGGATCAAATGTACAAGGATTAATCTGTTGGTTTGGGCTTCATGAGGAGATAGCTAGACTCATCTGTCTCCTGCCAGCTCATGCAACCCCCTCCTACCCTCAAGTGGCTGTTCAGGTAGGCAGGATGCTTCTCCTTTTACCTGAGGAGTTGCATGGTGAGACCCTTGAGTCGAAAGGGTTTGGAAGCAGGGATTGCAGGGAAGATTCACAGACTGTGCTGCTAACACATGCAACAGCCTTGCAAATAGGTACTTGCCTAATTACAGTTTGAGACAGGCTAACAGTAAAAATTTCAGATAGCTCTTATTCAGTACTAAATGGACTGGAGTAATAAGAGTTGAAAAATAAATAAACAAACAATTTTAAATAGAATATAAATAAACAAATACAAAATAAAAATAAAATCCCCTTTGATTCTAATTCATAGACTCAGCGGTCCATGTCTTGTATGTCCCTTTCTGGGTGGAAAAGGCAGTTAGCTGTTCAAAGCCATAGGTTATTTGAGAATAGAGGAGATGGAATATACTTTCCTTTAAGTTTATCTACTTGGCTACAAGTATAAAGTTTGCCTAATTTGGGCTTTCCTCTGATAAAGTTAAAAAGTGGTAGAAATAGCCTATGGTTGAGGCATCAAGCCACCTTGGGGATGGCCCTCTTGATACCACAGAGACTCACTGGGCATTTCTTCAATGTACCTTCTTCTTCACAAGTCCATGCCAGCCATGCCAAGGCCTAACACCAAAATGCTCCTGGTGACCTGCTCGTGGGTGACCCACTCTGCTGCCTTCGCTACATGGGGGTGGGGGACAATCTATTTCTGCCCTGCTCAAGACAGGTCAGCTGCTTCAAGTAGCCTTTCCTATGTCTCCAGGGACATTAATGCTGGGACAAAGTCAGGCCTGATGGGAACAATTGCATTTCATTTTTACTAAGTACATAAACTGGGAACAGCTACTTCTGTCTCCTGCCATTGCCTAATGCATTGCAGGAGCATCAGGTTTAGTCTTTGGGATTTGGTGAAGGAAAGAATCTGCTTCCACCCTCACTTCTTGCCATGGTGGGTGGCCTGTTAGAGACTTTGATGACACCATGCCTTTTGCCAAGGTAAGGCCACACAGGAAACTAGTGTCTTCCATCAGGGGAAAAAATGATGAACAGGACAGCATAAGCCCCTGATTAGCTGCCTGGAAGGTGGAAAGGTTTTGATTTCTGTGTTCCAACACAAGAAAATGCCACTGTGTTTATATGTGAATCACCAAGGAAAGCATTAAAAAATCCAACTTCATCACTCTCACCCAAGACAAATTTGAACACCCCAGCTCTGCACTTGTTAGATGCATAATGTTTGGTGACTTCACCCTTTTAAACCATCTGAAAAATGAAGATAATAATACCAACTCATAGGTTGGTGTGATAATAGAGTGAGATCATTTGTGTAAAATACTTAGCATATAGTAAGTGCTCAATAATGGTGCTGTCATGACAATGATTATTGTTTACTTGGTGCCTATCATAACTGTAATTATTGAATAGAATCATCAACCTTTTCCTTTTAAAGATGAGGAAAGTGCACCCAGATGTAAGTGACTTGTGTGACATCATTATGCTTGTAAGTATCAGAACGAGGACCAGCACTCAGGCACAGCCTGGACCCCATCTTCTCATCGGTGTCTGTGGGATATACACTGAATGAACTTAAGCTGTAACACAAGCCAGAGCTCTGAACCTTTTAAAAAAATGATTCTACTTTCTTCCCCCAAAGATTAGGATCGATTCTAAGCAAGTGAAATTCTCCCCAGGAATCCAAAGTAGAGAATCAGCACTAGCCCATGAAGGCCCCTCATCAAGCAAAGTATCCACTCACAGTCATTCTTGGCTCCCCCAGGAAAGCTGTCTTCTTGGTGATATCAAAGCAGAGAAATAAAATGGCAACAATTGCTGATGTGACAGAAAAGTTGTTTTGAAGACCATGTCTTGGCCCAACTCATTCCCATTGAGATAGTGTGTGTACAAATACCTAGACCAAACCCTGGCACATAGTAATACTTCAAACATGAGTTGATTCTGAATAGGAACACTAAGGCTTTCAGACTTCAGAATCGGCTCTTGTGTAAATTGGTCTCTGTGGAATACCTTCCCCACCATCTGCTCCCTGACCCAGAGTGGGAGTCTGCTCCTCACAGCTCCAAAACTGCTGAGGGAGAATCTCCCAAGTCTTCCTGGGCCACTGGGCACATCCTCTGCCTAGTCAAAGAAGTGTCTGTGGAAAGGCATCTCCCCTTCTTGGTTTAAGGAGGCCTCCTAATCAGTCAAAAGGGCTGACCACTCTGAATGGGTGGCCCTGAGTCCACTCAATGACAAAACCTGGAATCAGGCTCTTACTGGCTGACCACATGGTGGCAGTGGTTTCAGTTTTGAGTCACCATCTTGATCAAACAGGACAGTAATATAAAAGTCACCACAATAATACAACCAAAATCCCACTTATTCATCATTCAGACTTCTGATTAAGCCAACCTTCCAAAAGTATCCAAAAAACTCTCAGAGCCCCACAAAATTCACTGCCCCAATGATAACATGAACAGTAACCATCATTCTCCATGGCAGACTCTATGCATGGAGCTGCAGGTATATAGCTCATTCAGTGTTCACAAAAACCCTATGAGTTAGGTGTTATTTATAGCTCCATTTTATAGAGAATAAAATTGAGGCTCAGATGAGGAAATTTCACTTCAATTCTTACAGATGAAAATGGAGGATCCAGGGTTAAACCCAGCCAATGGGAATCCACAGCCTCTACCTCTATCCTCCATGTTATACTGTCCCCAAACCCAGTTAACCAGTTAATCCTACATTCCTAAATCATAGTCAAGAAGCAGAGAGGTGAATAGCAGTAAGTGTAGTGAGGAGGGATGAGAGGAGCAGAGAAGAAGCAGAACCAACCCATAGGCTGGCTGCTGGAAACAGCCACTGGGAACAGAAAGAGCCCCAACAAGAAGAACCCCTACACCCATCAGTTAGTGATTATATTATTTACAGTCCAACACAGTAGCTCATCCTCATAAATTATGTCCTTCAGTCACCAAAAAAAGTTAAATTGTGCTTGGACTATTCTGTTAAAGCAGGAAGGAAAGATGACACTCTATAAAGTAAAAAATAGAAATTTTGAGATTTTGATCACCAGAGAGTTAGGCATCCTTTACCTAGAACCTTCACATATCTAGAGCATCTTCTTCCTCATGAAGCCAGATGGAGTCAGCGTAAAGAATATACATCTCATGGATTTTTTTTTTCAAAATGGTTTAGTGTTCATTATCTATTGATCCTCACAAGCTTACAGGACTGGTATTACCACCAACAAGAATTGGATTATATTTGCTTTTCTCTCCAGAAATCTCTGTCTCAGCCTACTAAAATTAAAGCAGTGACAGTGAGATTCCCAACATTGTACTTAAATTGTGGTCAGGTAGAAGTTCCTGGCCTCTGGAATCTGGTCACTCTTTGTTTTTAAGTGATTGCAGAGAACTTCAGACATGTGCTTTCAGTAGACAAAGAGCTCAGGATCTCTTAGATGGAGAGCCATCCTGTCCCCTTTCCCACTGGGAAATGGGTGTGTCTCCCCAAAACAGCAGGGGTCTTGGTGGAGAGGCATTTTGCAACCTGACAGCATGCCTGGCCCATGGCACATAGTTAAGACACAATGTCTAGGCCCAGAAAGAAGCAAGAGAAATGCCAGGACATGCATTCTTTGTGGGTGAAAGCAGAAGAGATAGCAACATCTATAGTCATTTTCATTTTCTGTATAGTTATGCTTTATGAGGTCACCATGAACATTGAGTTAATGAATACTAAACCATTACTCTTAGGAGAAATACAGGGCTAGGATCCACAAGATTTTTGTCAAATAACCAATACATAACCTTATTTTATGTGTGTTTCTGTTTAAAGGCATCTTATTTAATATATATTGTTGATTCATTAACATTGTGCTCATGGCACTATCACTGATGCCTTAATGGAGCTTATCTAACACATGTACTTTTTCTGTAAAGCACATCACAGCCTTCTTGCACTAAGGAACACTAGACAGCACTTCAGCATTGTGTTTGGGGGCTATTTTTAACAGAAAAACCACCAATAAAAAGTGCAGAAATGTGAAAAACATGGCACTAAAGAGACCATAAAAAGTACACTTGTTTACAGTATAAGAGCTGAAACAAAGGCAGAGTGTTGCCTTGTTTAACCTCAGCTAGGAGTGTGATTCCAGTTTTACCCCATGCTGCACATATCTACATATGACCACAATGGCACACAAATATCAATTTGGGAGTTACAAATAAGTTTCAGCAAGTAGGCAAATTCGCAAATACAGAATCTATGAATAATGAGAATCGACTATATTGATCATGAGAGGGCCTAGAGCCCCACCAAGCCCTCTGTATTGATTGGATTTTCCACATGCACCTCCCTCTGTGTGCTTTACATTACTGAATACTGGCCCCAGCTCTCTATTCCACCTCTCACTTTTCACATTGGCCATTGCTGTGAAGAGCTGTGCTCCTGCCTTATAACAAATGCCATGGCTATGGCTGATTGTCTGGCCAGCTCTAGTCCCTGGGCCCAGCACAGCCCATCAGGCTGGGGCTTCATGTCTTCATTAGTTCAGTCCCCAGAGCAGGCACATGGCTAGCATCCAGGCAAGGAGATAAAGCAAACCAGAAAATCCCTTACTGCCTGGGATCTGGAGAGAGAAACTGTGACTCACCTTCCATCCAGCCACAAGCCTAGTTATACCTCTCACACTATAGGAGCCAAAGGGAGCCAGAAGGACTTCAGATCCAGTCCTGCCTCTTCTCCATTCCCTTCACACCCCCAATACAACCTCGTGGATATTTATGTAAGTTCCCCAGAGTCTTGGAGTATGGATGATGAACTTTCATTCCATGGGGCAAATGCTGTAACATAAGACTGGATCGATTGTCCCTACTCCAGTTTGATTCCAACCCTGTTCTCCTGACTCCAGAAGGATGGGTAGTTGTCTTGTAACTAGAACTTGAGACCTCTGCAAAATAATCCAAAAGAGCTAAAGTGAACCCATAACTATTAAGTCACCTTACAACTCCAAACCCATTCCACAGAAAAGGAATGGAGAATGCAAATGTATGAGGGCATAATGATAGTCCAGAGAAGGGTCCTGGAAGCACAGCTATTGGAATGGATTTGCATGGGGAAGGAACTACCATATGAGGTGACCATCTCTAGAGAACAAGCCTACAGCCCAGGTGGTATGCCCAGATATAGGGGGCATATCCAAGCTCATCCGCAACAGCAAAAGCGGGGAGGGAACAAAGCAAGGCAAAGCTTCCATCTTCATTTTGAGCTGTCAATCTGATTGCTTTTCCCTGGCATTAAACTTCCTTGGAAAAAAATGAAGGTACTGCCAGTTGGCAGGAAGCCGGAGAAAGAGCAAGTTCAATCCAATTAGAACTGGATTCAATCAAATTTAAGAAGAAAATTCCATCCAAAGCAGAGCATCATTAAGACAGCAGTTCAAGAAAACTCATTAGCTTGAGAGCCCCCACATCTCCCAATTTAAAAATTCCCTAGACCACTCCTTGTCCTAACCCCTTTTCACCATAAAAATAGTGAATGCTAAAAATCTGTACGCTCTGAGGCCATATAAGCAAAATGCAAATACTAAATAGATAGTGGATGTGGTGACAGAGGCACCTCTACAGGACTGAATGGATTCAGGCGCTGAGCTTTTGTCCCTCTGTGATTTGTTGCTGTGCCCTTCCTTCCAAGGTGCCTTTCCTTAGTGTGGCTTGTGCCTTCAAGGTGATTGCTATAGCCTCCTGCCCTGAACTAGGCCTTTACTGGTAAGAAAAGGAAGAATCAGGTCTCTGTGAACTAACCAAGATGCCCAGTACATGTCACACATACACACACCACCACCACCACCACCAAGGGCCCCATTTCCCATTGACTAAATATCAAAGACGAAAATGCTCCTATAGTCCTATTTTGGAAGAAAAGGCATTAAGAGTTCAGAACTAGCCCTCTTGAATATCTCCTTCTGCTGCCAGCCCCTTTCTTGCTAGAAAGTGCATTTGAAGTCAGAGAGAAAATAAGAACAGAATCAGAAAATAGGAAAGAAATACCAATTTTGTCAGAAATTTTTCAGTATGCCCTTCTTTCAGCAAATCCCAATCCAATTCCAGTTTCTACTCATGATTACTTTAAACTGAATGCATCATTTAACTTTTATATCATCTTTTATATATTTTTCCATTCTGATTACATTTCTTTTTTAACATAAAGGGCAGCCCCCAGGACATTTTCTTGTGTTTGGAGTCCTCATTTGTCTCCTCGCGGGGAAGAACTTTCTCTAGATTAGGAATCCTTCCAGGCATGTTAAAAGTGGCAAAACGAGCTCTAGTAGTAAGAATAGAGATTAAGGAGGTTAAATCTCCTGGGCCTTAAATCAGTGGTGTACTGGTAAATATTTACCAATCGGCTCTGCAGGGAGAAAAAGCCCTAGTTTGTAGCATTTTGCCAATTTCCATGGTGTAAATATTCCCACCGTGGCCAATTTCAAGCCACAAGGAGATATCAGTGAAGCTAGAGCAGCAAAGAGCTGTGTGTGGTGGGCTCCCAGGAGCCAGTGCGGGTGAGTGGGCTTTGGCACACCACCAGTCCTAACACCTTTGTCATCCAGAGATGTTTGTAAGGCTTTCCAGTGGCCACCCAATTCCAGGGGAAAATGAAAGTGCATGGTCCAAAACTGTCATGGAGGTTTTAAGTGACTGTTTGAAAAGGGTTTCCAGGTCACTGGAGTACAGTCACTATTAAAAGACAAAGTCTGTGACCGTGATCCAAGAATAATGAAATGGACTTTATCCGTTACTTTGTACTCTGGTGGCCTGTGTCAAGAATGTCCGCTTCAGTGACTTTCTGTTTATGTGAGAGTGAAGACAAAGCCTGGGATGAGAGAATGCTGTCTGTAGAAAGCAGGGGCAGGTGGGCAGGTCTCCTGGTGCAAAGAGAAGAAATTAATCCCTTTATTTCCTCTTATCTCCATCTCTCCTTCCCACCCACCTGGCCCTCTTCCTCCATGTGCTCCCCTACCCTGCCACTCCACTCTCTCTTGCCAGAGAGTTTTCCAAAGAGAGAGAGAAGGCCAAGGCTCGGGGAGACTTCCAGAAGCTGCGAGAGAAGCAGCAGCTGGAAGAGGACCTGAAGGGCTACCTGGACTGGATCACCCAGGCAGAGGACATCGACCCTGAGAACGAGGATGAAGGCATGGATGAGGAGAAGCCCCGAAACAGTGAGCAGCTGTCCTGTCTTGGGCTGGGTTCTGGGAGAGGGAGGAGACAGAGTCCAGAACAGTGAAACCTTCTACCACCAACTTGTCCTTACAGTTTGTCTACCTGGAGCAACATTTGTAGCATTGACTGTGATCATTTCTGCTCATAGAAATCAGTCACAGATGGGAAATAATAGCTGTTGATCTATAAAGCCTCATATTCCTTTTAGAATCCAAGGAGTCTAAAAGACAGTTGAGATTTTGCTAAGATGGACTCTTTTTTTTTTTTTTTTTTTTTTTTTTTTTTTTTTTTTTTTTTTTTTTTTTTTTTTTTTTTATCAGACATCCTCCTCCAGGCTCCATCTCTTTGGGCAGGGGTTAGATTATGGTCTTCCCATTAGAGTTTTAAAATCCCTACTGTGTAGGAATGTGTGTACATATATATCCTAACACACATATGTGTGTCTAACGTGAGTCCAGTTTCTTGTCCTTGTGAGTAGGCATTAATTATGTCCATTGTTTTCAAATCCCTCCCCAGTTGATTTCTTTGTGTTTCTACTCATTAGTAACTGAATTCTAATTGGGAATCTGGGAGAAGGAGCAGGTGCAGGGAAAAGAGAAGAAGACAGTCAAAGATGAGAACAAAGAACAGAATGTCTGCTCCCTCATTTCAGAGACTGATTTAACTATCATCTATCAACTATTCCCTTTCTAATAACTCTGCTCAAGATGAAAATACAAAATTAAAACACACAAACAACAAGGGACTGGTAACAACATAAATTAACAACCTGAAGAGACCCTTATGCTCTACTAAGTAGTTTGGCAAGTTGGAAAGCAACACCTTTGATGGATTGTAACAGTGAGCAATAATGCCATTGAGGGTTGTTCTGGAAAAATGCCTGGCACCTAATTTTATACTGTTAATGGTACTGTGGAGTAGTTGAACAGTTGGTGGACTGAATGGTTTGGTGAATAGATAAGTTGACCTGTGAGTGACAGAGAAGCTTACCTCAAAGACACAGGAAATGGCATCTTGGCTCCTCTCTTCACCTTGAGTCGGGGTGGAACCCCTAACTCATGAGTAATGGCGATGAACATGTTTCTTCCCATGTTATTAAAAATGTTCAGTATCCACTACTTGCTAAGCAATTAATTGCCATCTACATAGACATATAGTTCTCCTGTTCTCTGGCTAACGCAAGAGCTTCCATGGAGAAGTATGCTGCTTCCTGCCTTGCCCATTAAGTGAAAAAATTCTAAGGAATTTCCAGTAGGAAGTATTCTTTGCTGCTGGAGCAGATCACATTGACAAGACCCATCCACCCACCATCTGGCTAAACTTTGGGAAGAGCATACTGAACTGCCTACCCCAATGGGCAAAGTTTCTGCCAAATTTTCATAAGCTCAAACATGGATGAAATCAAACTCTGGAGACTGTTGTGCCTCTCACCTCATACTCTTTCCTCATGGCTGGAGAAGACTTTTGGGTCTACTTCTCATCCTCAGCCAACCTGTCCTCGGAGGACAGAATGAGAACCTGGCTCCTTCAGTTGTGGAGATGGTGGTGGAACAGTTCTAGGGAATGAGGCAAGGGAATATGTATCGAAAAAGCAAGATATAGAGAGTAAAATAGACATTTGCAATGAAGTGAATGTGAGAGACTTAGGAACGGAGCCAGAAAATGGGGCCAAAGGACTGTCTATTGGGGAAGTCCAATTAAAAGCAGAATTGATGTGATTAAATTATTAAGGAGTTGGCAACGAAAAGATCTGCAGAAAAGGCAAGTGTGTGGCTTAGTAACTATATTCTCTTCTTCAGAACTTCAGTTTGCCCTTCAAAACAAATAGGAGGAGAGAATGCTGTTACAAATTACATGTGTGTTTCAATTAAAGTAACATCTTAGCCTTTGAAATTGTTAAAAGATTACAGGTTAGTGTACTTACCAGTTCTTTTCATCTCAAAAATTAGGTGGTCATTTAAAAAAACAAAAAGGTATCATCACTCTTCATCAATGACCCCGGCAACTTTCAGGCAGAATCCCTGTCAGCACTTACAAAATGCCACTGGTGGTGGGCACCGGTGAGACGGAGCTGTCTCCAGCACAGGGACAGTTTAATGGCACATTCCATGGTAGCTGGGCTTACATAAATGGGCCCAATTACTCATTTTTTCTAGGAAAAGCTGCAAAACCACTGAGGAAGTAGAAGGAACAGGGATTAGAAAGACAACAGAGAAAGGGCATAGTTGAGAAGCATGTCTCTAAGTAATTAGAGTAAATGATGTTTCCAGTGAAATTATATGCAAAAACCTATTCTAGTTCATTCTTTCCTCCCTCCTTCTGTCCATCCCAATTCAGGGCAACTCTGTGCCAGGCACTTTTTAGGCCCTGGTGATATAGCAATGAACAAAATAGTCAAAACTCCCTGCCCTCATGGAAATTATATTCTAGTGGGGAGATAGACAACAAATTAACTAGTATGTCAGAGAGTGGTAAGTACTGTAGAGAAAGATAAAACAGTGAGAGGGAGGCAGAAGTGTTGAGAGGTTGCAATTCTAGAGGAGGTGGCCAGGAAATACCTCACTGAGAAGGTAGCATCTGAATAAAGACTTGAAGGCAGTAAGGAAATGAGCCATATAGATATTTGGGGAAAGAGCATTCCAGGCAGAGGGAACAGCCAATGGAAAGGCCTTGAAGCAGGAGGATGGCTGACATAGGAACAGAAAAGAGGCTAATGTGACTGGGGAGGAGTGAAAAACAGGGACAGTGGTAGGAGATGAGGTCCAAGGTTAATCAAGGAGTAGATCATGAAAATCATTATAAGAATCTGGACTTTTACTAGAAGGGAGCCAAGAAGCCTCAGGTGGTTTCAAGCTGAGAAAAGATACGACCCACACAGGATTTTTATTTATGTAAAATTTAACAGGATCCCCCTGGCCATCATGTGCAAAATGAAATGAAGGTGAGTAAGGGTGAAGCAGGGAGCCAGGTGGGAAGCTACTGCCTCAAGAGACGGTGTTCAGCCTTGTCCTGGTAACATAATGTAATGCAGTCAGGCTCTACAATGGCAGCATTTGCTGACATATAACATATGAGATGCGAAAGAGAGAGAAGTCAGGGAGATCCCAAGGTGGTTGTCCTCAAAGTAGTAGGAGTAGAGTCCTCATTTACTGATACAGGGAAGATGGGGAGAGAAAAGATGTCAGGGCAGGAATATCATGAAAACCATTGTAGACCTTTAAGTTTGAAATGTCCATTAGACTTCCAAGTGGAGATGTTGAGTGAACAACTGGGATAAATCTAAGTCTGGGGAAAAGGTCTGGGACAGAATTATAATTTGCAGAGTCAGCATTAGCCTAGCTGCCATACTAGGGTGTTATAGACAGAAGTGAGACGCATTCCAAGAACCTGGGCCCCAGTGATGTTTGGAGACAGGGGTGATGGGGAATAACCAGCAAGGGAGACTTAGACAGGCACTGCCAGACAGACAGGAGGAAAAGTGAAGGAGAGTCCGTGCTGCTCAGAGGTCAAGCAAAGTGAGCGCCGAAAGCGAATCATTGAGCTTAGCAATGTGGAGGTCACTGGTGCCTCAGCAAGAGCAAGTGGGTGAAATGGTTAGGGTCAAAGCTTGAGGGCAAATCAGAGTCTTCTTTCATGAATCTCTTGAGTTTAGCTACTTCACAGAATGGTATCAAGCATTGTTTGAAGACCCTCTGTTGTTGGCATGACCTAGCTGTCAGCCATCTAAGTGTTTCCAGAAAGAGGAGAGGAGGAGACTCATGTAATCCAGCCTGCATGTGACCCTAAGAGGTTAGTGTCTAAAGATCAACCTTGCATTATATCCCCATCTATAGTCATTTCAGTACTAGGCATTGCCTCTGCCACTGGTTACAGGCAGCCTTAGGAGAAGGAGAAAATTACACTCATGAAGTGTTTCTGGGCCCAAAAGAGGTGAAGCAAGCAGGGGGTAGGCTTGTGCACTGTTGCTTCTGTGTCACTTCCAAAGCAGGCAGCCACATGTGTCTTAGCCTTCAAGCCCTGCTCCTCTTGGGTAAAGACCAGGGTAATGCAGAGGCCTTCCCTCTCCCTCCAAGCAGCAACGAACATCCCTTTTGAAGGCACCACTTAGAAAACTATCACTGCTGCACAGAGCCCACTGGTAGAGATGTGCTGCTCCAAGAGACAGGGCCCTTTTTCCAGCTTCAATATTGAATCTAATAGAAGGCCAGTCGTTAGAGAGAAGCCATAGAGAAAGAGATAAAGTCAGAAATTTCTTCTTTCTTTTTCCTCCTCAAGATCAAAAAATGCATTTATTAAATATCTACCCATATGGGAATCTCTGTCTCATATCATTAAGACATTTTAAATGCAGTCCCAGCCCTCTAAAGCTTGCAGTCTGACAGACATTTATGTGGATGAGCATATAAAAGACAGACAGACGGTGGAAGTGAAACATTGAATTTCCACATAGATAAGCAGGATTAAATATTTACACCAGTGGTATTCAGTTATGTGACTCGGGAGCCACTTTTCCAATCATCATTACCCGACAGAGCCGCGTGACTGCTACATGCCCTGCAGAGTCTGGGATAGTGTATTATTGAAATACAGAAATCTGAGGACTTATGAGAGCAGCAGGTTGCCCACAAAAAGGCCCCATGTGGCTCAAGAGCAGTAATCTGAAAATCACTGATTTACGTTGTACACATGTCAAGGGCATGTGCATCATTATTTCAACCTTTTTTTTTTTTTACAATTTAATCCATATAGTCAGTATTTACCGTGGACTTAGCTCATGGTCAGGGGTTACCACACGTCTAGATTTTTGTGACAGAATCCCACCAAGCATCTGGCTCAGATTGCATGAGATGAAACATTAGCAACTGTTTTTTTCTTGGCTACATTATTTTGTACCCTTTAATTACCATGTGTGAGAGGGCTGTCCTGACCCCATGCTGCTCAGTGACAGTGGACTGTGCAGACCCCAGATAACTCTTGCTCCCCCACCCCCATTAATTCC